GTAACACGACTGCAATTCATAACTCACCCCTCAACATTTACAAGTGCTAGGTTGTCTATGGTTGCAAATCCTTTGACATAATTTTGTAGGTTCTGCATATCTTCATGATCATTAACAGAAGGATGGCAGATCTTTGTTCCAGGAGCCGAAAGGTTGAAAATATTCCTTATCATGATGGGTATGCCATACCGCATCACAGGAATAATTGTTCGAGGATGCAAGACATTTGCACCAAAATAAGACTGTAAAACACAGTTTGAAAGTTAATCTATTTAATTTTTATGAGCAGAAGGAGTGTTGCGGCTTTCCGGTATATAAAGTGATAAAATAGAAAAATTAAATATTAAATAAAATAAATATTTTTACTTTATATTATATAAAATAAATAATAAGTGGAGATAAAAACTTGAAATATATTGTAATTTTCTTTTTATTCTAACTTGGTGACTCTAACTTCTTTTTCATTGTACTTGATGACTCAAACTAATCCAACCTTATCATAATTGAATTGGTTTGATTTTAACTGACGAAAAAAATTAAGATTTGAATGGACCAAACTTAATTAACCGTAATCAATTTGAATTCGATTTTATCTTAAAACCGAATCAATTCAACTCATGAATACCTCTGGCTACAAGATACTAACCATGTCATAGACCAGGTAGTAGACAATGAGACTTGTAATTTGGTATTGATTGACCAAGATTTTAACATCAATGATCATAAACTAAAACTATCTCCTATAATCTCTGGTCTAGTAATTCGATCCCTCAAATTTTGGACAGGGTGATTTAGCTAAATTATAAAAATTCTAAATCGTCCTATTCAAGACAACTCAACTCATTGCTTCATTCATAATTTTGTCTTTTGAGTCGTATTTATATAAAAAAAAATAACACAATTACATTCATATACTAAATAAATAAATATTTTTTTTCGTAATTGGCCTTTTCAACGTTTTGCTCTATTTTGAAAGAGTGGATAGAATCATAAAATTTGGGTTGGTGATGGAGTGATTTTTTTCTTTTATAAAATCTGGCCAGATGGATAACTTTCGCAACGAAGCACATGTTATGAGTACCAATTCCTGTCTTCTTTATTATGGTTGTATCCATGTTATATGAAAGATGCATTTTTTACCTCTTGCCAAAAATATAGGGCAGATTGAGTAGTTGAAAATAATTGAATTGGCAACGATGCTTGAGATTCAATTATATGAAAGAGAATTGACCAAAAGAAAATCAAGGAAGAGGAAATTCCAATTGTTGTATTTTATAGTGCTAGCTGGTTTTCATAACAAGTGTGGAATCTCATGTGCTTAAAGTTCATTGGAGGTTAGATGGATCTTCCAAATTTCAATTGCAATTAGTAGGTAACAAGATACCTCACTCTGGAAGATATTATTGGATGGATTAAGTTCCATGATTCACCGTATAAAACAGACAGAAAGAGTTCATGACTCTTCCAATATCACCAATTAGTGTATCAATATCATAGCATAAGTTAATTGATGTTATCTCACTTTAATCAATTTTGGTTTTAAATATACTATTAGTCTCTATAAAATAAACTTTATTTCTAATTTCCTTAAAAAAAAATATTGTTTTTAATCTATTTAAAATATTAAACCTTTTATTTTTAGTCATCCTAAAATTCAGAAAGTTTTCATTCCTCTAAAATTTAAAATAGTTAATGTTGATCTTCAACTTTCATTTTAAAATAGATAAATAAAATTTATTTTAAAGATTTTAAAAAATACAGATGTTATGCTGAAATAGTATCGTAAATACTAGTATATGTGCATGTCATTTGGATTAACTATTTAATCTTTCATTAAACACATAAGTAATTAATAAGTATCACATTATAATAAAGATAAAA